GCTTCGCTAACTACAATTATTTGCTTATACAGCCACTTCAACTATATCTAAATCTTGTTATTCGGTCTTCTTTTATTTCTTATTACACATCTCTTGTTCTTCAGTTTTCGCGTTGGTTATTGTTTTGTCTTTATTCAGCCGATAAGCCTCAACCGATAAACCAGTATTTCTTAGATTTATTGCTTCGATCATGGGTTTGCTGTGCCTAATTTTTGTAGATCCTTCATTTTAGCTTGTGACACCATTAAAACAAACAAAAATATATAAAGAAACAGATTTTTCTTGCCTTTTCTTTGCTCTGAGATTTATAAAAAAAATATATAGAATAATAATTAACACAATAATATATATTTATTTATAAAATATAATATAATGTTTATATTTACTACTAAACTACTTTTGAGTTTCCATTTATTATTTTTTTTCGAAAATAAAAATATTTTTACAATAAAATCAATATACACTAATACCGAATTAATTTTATACAATTTTACACAATATTATTGATCTAGTTCTAATTTGTTAATAATTTACAACTCCCAAAAAACAAAAAACTATTCTCATTATTAATGAAACAAAATTTAGAGGACACTATCAATTTTATGTGGCCGGGAATTTAACTACATATATATACAGAGGTGTGGGATATCAATGTAAAAATGTTAAAAATTGTAATTAACGGTTCTACAACAAACTCCCGACATCCAAAATCTCGAAAACCATAATCCCGACGTGACAATTAATATTTAAAGATTAGTAATCACATTAACAATCATTGTCAGACTTTAAATTTTTAATTGTCACATTGCGTGATGTCAATATTATGGCCTGCCGAGATTTTGGATGTCAGGATTTTGTGGTAGAACCGTAATTAGTACTTCACATATTTGTATAAATGCTTGATTCTTCAAAAGTAAATATGATTACCCATGACATCAGGATTAAGCATAAAGGCTTCATAACTTTCCTCTATTGTTGCAATATATAAATAATTATTGTGAATATGGTAATATTAATAAATATACATGTGAGAATAAAATTCTATGATTAAAAAATAACACCAAGTTTCTTATAAGAATCAAAGCTGGTGTCTAAGTCTGTATGCAGGTATGCATGTACATAAATGTTGGTATAATTCAAATAATAATGAACAGATAATAATAAAAATTTAGAGATCTTTACATACCGTATAACACAAAACTATAATTCGAAAATCCTTGAGAATCTTCAAGTGATGAGTCGGGTGAATCCATTATATTTCCTTGCTCTTCATACAAAGGTTGAAAAAGTAGATCTATTATATTTACTTGCTCTTCATACAAAGGTTGAGGAGGTGGATTCATTACGTTTCCATACTCTTCATTCAAAGGTTGAGGAGGTGGATCCATTACATTCCCTTGCTCTTTATTCAAAGGTTGAGATGGTGGTTTCATTATATTTCCTAGCTCTTCATTCGAAGGTTGAGATGGTGGTTCCATTATATTTCCTAGCTCTTCATTCGAAGGTTGAGAGGGTGGATCCATTACATTTCCTTGATTTTTTTGTTCTTCATTTGAAGGTTGAGGTGGATCCATTGAGTCTTGTTCTTTTTGTTTATGATTAGAGGTGTTTCATTTAGATTTTTTCACTTACCATTTTTATCAAATTTAATTATACTTTTATATTTCTGTTTAGAATTAAGCCTTCGCTTAACCTGAGGTTTATTATTAATTATGTCATATTGATCTTTAGGAAGGTATCTAAGTATTATTTCTTGGGACTCTCTTTTCCTTTTCTTTTTTTTATGCTTTATAGACGTTTCGTGTAGATCTTTATTCTCATTAATTGACATTTCACATGGATCTTTACAAAGTCCTGCTTCTTTCTCCATAATTAAATGGACGATTGAAATTTTTAAGTATAATATAAAGAATTTTTTAAGTATGATATAATATCTACAATATAAAGGACTTGGTAAAAATTTTTTTTAAAGAATAATAGAATCTAAAAGATTTGTTATTGCTTAAATAATAAAATTTCTGATTCTAGCATGCAGATATGTATTTTTTATTTCACAATAAATTACTGCCACATGACACTTTAAAAGCTTTATGTAACCAAATCCCGAAATCCCAAAATTAATGAAACAAGTTTTATAAAATATTTACTGTATAATCATGCGGTATTAGGATGGTTATACTACAGAGTCCCGACATTCAAAATCCCGACATACAAAATCCCGACAAACAAAATCCCAACATCAAAATCCCGACACTGCCAAAATACTTATAGTAGTACTATTAAGATTTTTGCAGTGTCAGGATTTTGTTTGTCGGGATTTTGTATGTCGGATTTTAAATGTTGGGATTCTGTAGTATAACCATTAGGATACACAATATAGATATTCGTACAAAAAAAAAAGAAAAAATGTCTTAATATATATATATATCTAAAGAAAAAAATATCTCTCAAACTGCCTGATTAATTATATATTTTCGAATGCAGAATTCGAAATAATTGCAGATTTTTCGGATATTTCATAACAATTTCGAATTCTGCAGATCTGTATAATTCGAAAATCTGCATGTTAGTCGTATAGTTTTAAAGTTAAGATTTAAAATAACCGCGATGAGAGATGTATAAATCGTGGGAAACCCGCTGTCTTGTAGCGTGCGTGCGTACGTACGCAAGTACACTCTTTCCAAACAAATTTCTTATCCAGGATGTGAGTATGAGATTTCACCGTAACACAAAACTTTAACTAAGAAATTACCATTTACAAGATATATATACGTCATAACCTAACCTTAATTCTAACGTTGTGATATTCATGTGTTATTGCTGTAAGTAATAACGGAATTTAAGTGGATTTGGAATTTCTTAGGATTTTTAGGGTTAGGGTGTAGTTTATACGTATAAAATAAAGAGAAAATCTATTTGACGACTGGGCAAATTTACCCGGATTTACTTATTTGTGAAATTTGACCAGCGTTAGGGTTAGGGTTAGGTTTGGAAATATTAGTAAAATTTGGTCAGGAATTTTTTTAATTAGAACGTAAAAGGTGTGATTTCTTAGGCAAGATTTTTGAGTTATCTGAAAAAGCTTTCGATTTAAATTGCACCTGATCTTGAGATCTACAGTTAGGATTGTATTACACAAAATTATATTTTTCATTACATGGAATTTACATTGAAACTGTAATGTAACTTTACAATATATAGCGCATTGTCACATGATAATTGCACTAGCATTGCAACAGTTTTGCCGGCATTAATAGATATCCATCATTGTGTTCGGAACTTTAATTTTAATTTTGCGTAAGTTTTCGGTAACATATATCATGTAATTTGTAAGAAATGTGATCATACGCTCATATGATTAGTTGGATCATATGTACATCGATTTGATCAGTGAACTTTATGCAGAATTCCTGTAGCTATCTGAGTGCTGGTACTATATATCACGTGTGAAATTTACATGAAATTCATGTTACTGAAACTTACGTGAAATTACATGTATTGTAAGTTTGTAAAATGTAATTTTCAACCCTATCTACAGTACATAAAAAATTTCCTTTTTTAGGTTTCAGGCAAATTTGCCTAGGCGTCACTCTAAAATAAATTCTACCCTAAAATTACCTAAAATTACCTAAAATTGTAATTTTATTAAGAAATTCCAAATCCACTTAAAGTCTGTTCCCATTTACAACACATGTAGCCGAACTATTATAAAAAATCATATCCTTCATGTACTTAAATACTCGATCTATTATTTAATCACATTTGTGAGTATGTGCTAATAAGATCAAAAGTTGACCATCTTAGCCATTAATGATTCGTGAGTCATTTTAATATAAGTTAGAAGGACTTTCAGCCAAAAATTAGTTTAAACTCACTATCAACCTTTTCTTCAGTTCCACTTGGAGGTGAAGTTTTTTTTTTTTTTTTTTTTGAAAATTCAATTATTAACTTTTACACACTAGTTATCGTTATAAACAATGTAATAGATAATCAATTCAGGTAACAGTCACAATAACAAATCATTTGAACAAACAATGGATTAACTAACATTAACGAAAATAACGAATAGTTTTAGTTAGGGATGTTAAGTGGTTCACGGTGAACTAGTTCGGATCGGGTTTGGTCCAAAACTAGTCCTATAATTTTGTGATCTCAAGGTCTCTAATTGGCTAATTTACGTCGATTCAAATGTGATTATAATACTGGAACGAATTTAATACGATCCATGTAATTATAATTAAAACACAATACTCATTCACTATTGTTCTATACATTAAACTGCTAGAATAAGACCGGT